CCACATGAACAGGAAGAAAGAAGGAGTGAAACAGTCAAATTGACACTTTTGATAATGTCAGATTGGGCTCCTTGACCAACTAGGAATGATGGCAGTGTCATAGGCAAAATTCATTTTCCTGAACTTATGAGTGCAGTGGAAGGGTGCAGGTGTCCAATCTGTGCAATGGATTAGTCCTAACAGGATGCAGAACTGATGTTCAGGCTGCCCCAAAGCTGTGGGGTATTCCAAAATTACCAGCAAACTCTGGAGTAAGTAAGGTAATACAAGTTTTAGTTATAGTATGCTGGTCAGACAAGTTAGGAATGTCTTAGCTCCCTTGCCTACAAGGCCAAAGAGCTTCCCACTGTTGCGTTCTATGCCATTAGCTCATTAACTGCTCATAGCTCCTTTGAGACTTTACAGTGAACCTTTGGGAGCTTTTGCCTAGCTCTTTTTTGAACTATAATTAGTGTGCAAGTCTTTGAAGAAAAAATAAATGATTTTTTGAGAGGCCTTTGAATATACAGAAGGGAAAAAAAATCTCATTTTACATTCTAAGTCATGAAAAAACTTTCTGGAAATAACTGATTCAAAATATATCCCATTAACAAGAACCACCACCATTCATCAGTGTGGGCATTATAAACTTGGGGAAAACATATTCTAACTGAGATAACTCCAAATATTGACATTGTTGCTACCTCCAACTGAGGTTTTAACTTTCTGTACAATATCCTAGGACTAATCCTCATTTAACACTATGGGACTTACCTCCAATTAATCATGCCTAGGATTTCAATTTAATTATGCCAACTCCCCAACTTTTAAAAAAAATGCTAGGGCCTTTCTGTAAAAGAGCATGCCAGCTTTTGCTGGGTTGAACAAATCAATGAGTAGTCATTTACCTTAACCGTCCCATATTTTCAACTTCTTCCCTCCACAAGAACATAGGAAGACACCTTACTTTGAGGAAAATATTTGTCAATCTAGCACACTGCTGTCAATTCGGATTGTGGACATTACGTCTAGAATCTTAACTTTCCCTATTGGCATATCCCCAGTATTCCATGATGGTCTCTAAATCTTATAAAATCTCAATCTTATTTAGCTTCCAAATTAAAATAATATTAGGTGTGTTCTGGGTGGGTTGGAGTTGTTTAGAAAATATTCCGAAACTGCAATAGGTGCTTGTAAAACCCCGTGCACCCATCAATTTCACTTGATATCAGGGCTGTAGCCAAGGGGGGGGGGGAGGTTAGGGGTTCAACTCCCCCTCTGAAATTATTCAGGTTAAAAAAACTGGTTTACTCATGAATTTTAACTGGTTAACCAAATTCCCCTGCTAAGTCTATGAGAAGCAAAAATTAGACAAGTCCCTCCAGAACTGCAAGCACTATCTCAAGCAAATTTTGACAATTTATTCGCAGTCATTACTTGCAGCAATAGCTGATATAGTGGAAGCAACCAAGTTTGCCCACACACAACTGGTAGGCAAAGCCTAAGGCATGGGAAGGATTTGAAGCCCCCCATGAAGGAGATGAGAAAATTGATTTAATGAAGTTTGTAAAAATATAGAATGAATTTAAATTATCTATTTAAATTATCTTGTGTTATGGAAATACTTCTCATGATTCACTAAAAAAAAATTCACACCCCCCCCACCCCCCCCCACCCCCCCCCCCCCCCACCCCCCCCCCCCCCCCCCCCCCCCCACACCCCCACCCCCCCCCCAACCCCCCCCCCCCCCCCCCCCCCCCGCTTGATACACTTGTAGAATTTTGACTGATATTTGGACTGGATACTTGGAAAATATCTCATTCTTGACCCAAAAAAGTGCAGCAGAAAACTGAGATACTACTTGAACTACCCCCCCCCCCCCCACACAGACACACACAGAGATCTTGTGACTTCTATGCAGAAAAAAATCACTTGCACAAAAACATTGTTTTATGCAAAACCTGTAAAACTAACAATTTAATGCAAAAACACTTATGAGAATGTCAAGATGGAGTAGACTGCTTTGTTTCAGGCAGCTGAAGTAGTCAGCATTTCATGAATCATTCATACAATCATGTTCTACAATTTTATGGCGATATTTGAGTTTTTACTTTAGTTTGCACTTTGTATATAGAGATAAAAAAGCCACAATGATTTTTTATTTGTGTTACTCCAGACCAATGCTACTCAAAGTGAATCCAAACATGCTATTTGCCCCTGCCACATTAGGAAGATGGTTTTCCTACAATTCAGAAGTGTGGACAGCTATAGGGACAAGTTTGTTCCAGTGAACTTCTCTATCACAGAAGATTCCATCTGCTATAGCTTTTGAGAGTGCAATATGCTCTTCTTTCCTTTTTTTTTTTGAACATTCAAAATAGGAACCATGAAAAATGGATATTTGCCATTAATTTGAAATGAATGGCAGAAGAAAATAAAAATACATCAGACATCTCATTTGCAGTGTTGATTTTTAAAAACCCAGATAAATTAGCAACAATTAATTCCAGTCCCAAGTGTTCTTTTTCCAGTAGATGCCAACTGAAGGCAGATGACTGATCACCCTGCAAGGAACATTTCATCAGTCGTGTAAACAGACTGACATTCTTTGATTGGTTTCAGATTTAAATATCTAGAAGCCCTTTTTAAACATGCATGGGGCCCATAGCTGAAAGGGGAAGCTCTGTTTTTTCTTCCACCAACTTATATCATTCACTTGTAACTTAGGTTTGGCATTTCCTAAGAAATGTAATGTGTAAATCAGATGATGGTTGTAGATAAAATAACAACAGATGTAATGGGGAGACAAAAAACTATGGTGCATACACATTTGTCCCATTATAAAACATATCAGCTCCAGGGTAGTTAGTTACAATTTCTGGGTCTCAACATAGAAAATATGTCTGTTATTCCAAAAGTAGAGTGCTCGTACTTTCTCACTCACATGCATGCTGTAACATCAGCAGCTATCAAGATGGAAAATCAAATTCTTCCATAGAAACAATATCTACTTCAAATAAGAGAAGTGACTCCCTCCCAGCTATACTTCACCTGCTGTCACAGCATTCTCAGTTTTCAAGCAACAGATCAGCTTTGCTTTCACATCTAACTCTTTAACTCATTACTTCCACCACATGCTACTTCTCCAGCTCTTTGGTTTTTTATTGTTCTGCCCTACTTCTTTCCACTCCATTGACTCTCAGTCAGGCTCCCATCTACCCTGCACTCTTCATGCTCATGCATACATATACAAGCAAACAGATTCACCTCCTTTACAAAATGTGGTAATTTGGACTACAATTTCTTTTCTTAATCTTTTCTGAGACAGAATAACAGATGCACACAAAAATGAAGATGAAGAGTTATTAGTTACATGGTAATAATCAAAGATTGCAGCAAAGAAGTAATGAATATAAAAAGGATCTGAACTCTGAACCCTATATTCTTAATGGAATAAAGGTATACAACAAGCTGCATATCAAAGGGGCAGTCAAATTAATAACTCAATTTCCTTAGATTGTTTTCTCTAGAAGTTTAAAAAAACTCACAATAGAAAATGAATGTGATTATAATCAACACACAATGCTTGTATCAGTTTATAGTACTGATAGCACTAAAACCTTTCCCTCAAAGGCTAAATTGTTTGTTGGAGGTGACAGGTCAGCAGTTAATAGGAAAAAAATCTTGTGAGGACAGATGTATATGTGGACTAAAAGTCTCCAATGATGTCCATCTCCAAGGCCTATACAAATAATGAAGTCGGTCAGATATTGCAATACAATATGACCCACATATCCATAGGGGATACATTCTCAGAGTATGTATTTGCCATTTTATACAAGGGGCACCATTTTACTACACTATTCTAGACAATGTGACTTGAGTATCCATGGAATTAGATATGCTCAGACAAGCCTGGTATCAAACTCTGCTCCTCCAGATGTTTTGGACTTCAGCTCCCACAATTCCTAACAGTTGGTAAGCTGGCAGGGATTTCTGGGCACTGAAGTCAAATTTATTTATTTATTTATTTATTTATTTATTTCAAAGTTTTATATACCGAGCTTCTCACCTCATAAGAGGGACTCAGCCCGGTTTCCAACCATAAAAACACATACAATCGGTAAAATATCAAAATACACATTACAAAACATTAAAAAGCACATATATTTATATTCAAAAACACCTGGAGAAGCAGAACTTGAGAAACACTGCTCTAGTGATTACCCAGGGCCTAATATACTACAAATATATTAAATGTATGATGCTATATATATATATATATATATATATATATATATATATATAGCCCTTCATATTTGCAAGTTTGCAGATTGGATTATTCACTTAATTATTACAGGGATTAAATAGTCGTGGTCAATGTATTCTCTCTAGGAATCTCTAAATACTCCAGTTTGATTTTATGGTCATCTTCACACCAGAGGACCTAAAATTCTAGAGGAAACACTTGTCTAGGAATTCCCAGGCCCTTCAGTTTGTTTCTATGATCAGCTTCTAGTGGAGCTTGACCATAAAGTCATGTGGGAAGACTTAAACATTCATAGAGGGGTGTAGTCTTAGGCAAATTATAGCTTTTTAAAATTCAGGTGTTTTTGTTTTTTTTTACTTTTGTGGGAGTTCTGTACGCCTAACCCCAGTGAATGTGGAGAGCTGGCTGTACTAAAATTTTACTACAAAAACAGTAATCTCCCTCATTGGATTTATATCTTTTATATACATATTTCAAGGCTATTGTCCTTATCATAGGGAAAACATATTTGGTGTTGTTTTGACGCAGATATGATGAGGTCAATAATGAAATATGATGACAACCCTGAATAGACCAAATTTTGAACCTTAAATAGCACAACAAAAATTTAAATTGTTCATGCTAGTAAGCTTCTGTCTCATCTGCAAACAGCTCCTTGAGTTATGCATTGCTTTCTGATTGGTGCAAATGGGATGCAAATATGCCAAGAGAAGACTACATGTCACCATACCAAACATTGCTATCAACATACCTGAATGAAAATATACTCATCCTGGACGACAAGTGAGCTAACGTCAATATAGTGCAAAAAAGGTCCATTTCTGGTTGTTTCTGAACATTCTTGAATCCTACAGGTTATATAATGGGCACCTAAAAATGTGAACAGAAACAATATAAGAAAAATATATATTAGCAAATAGTTTTTTTGTAAGTTAAGGTAAACAATTTGTCAGAACAGGGATGGTGCCTCATCTTTTGTACTGTCCAACTGTGAGTCCAGAAACCTGTGTTCACAGCTGAAGTGCTGCCTGCTGACTTGCAAGCACTGCTCAGGGAAACTAAGGCCCTTTCACACCACACGATTATAGGACTGCAATTCTACTTTAACAGTTCCATGGAATAATAGATATTTTAGTTTGATGAGGCACTAGAGTTCTCTGGGTTAAACACCGCTCCCTAAAGTGAAAAAAACAACATTTCATTGAATGCCACCAGGCAATTAAAAGTGAAAGCATGGTGCTATCACTTTAGGGTGTGAAACCCCTTTGGGCTTAATCCCCCTGGATATCCACCCCCTTTCTTCTCCTAGATTGATATAAGCTATGTATCTCCTTTCATGTCCCTTATTTCCTACTTCTTGCAACCTATGTTTATGGTGTTTGTCAACCCAGTTCCAGCTTTAACTTATGAAGCCTTTCACATGTCAGACATTTGGATTTCCTTCCCAGCCAACATGGATGTTGACCCTGCCTGTATATGCCAAAAGATCAGAAAGCACCATGATTTTCAGTGATAAAAGGCTACAACTTTATTTGATTACAGTTCCCCAGGGTTGGCACCCCCTCATGCTTGTAGATCCCATCCCATTCAGCCTGATCTGCCATTGCTACCTGGGGAAAAAAAACTTGCAGTGCTGCCCCAGCCGTCATCAGTCTCAAGCCCTGAAGTTGCAAGTATGGTATATCTCTGTCCCCCTCCTAATCTGGACCACTCTCGCCCACATTCCAGGACAGGGTTTTCCCCTAAGAAATCTTACATTTGCCAATGTCTGATTCCACTGGCCCCATTTCCCAGATCCAAGATCCATGCCATCTGTCAGTGACCAAACTTGTGACAGACTAGACATAAAACTCTAGGGAGGGGGCGGTGAACTAGAATACCAGGGAGGAAAGGCTGGCTCCACCCCCGGGCAGCAATCTATCTTTTTCCTGGCCCATCAAGCAGGCTAATGGAAGACCAGCAGGTGCTGAACTTTTTCAAATCCATAAACATTTGTGAACCCACATGAGGACACTTCACATAAAAATAGTTCACATGATGACAGTTTCCAAATGACACTTCATTGGAAGCAGCATCATTTGCAATATATTTTCCAATTAATGATACAAGCATGGCTTTTGGGGATTTAGGACTCTAAAGGTTCAAGGGGCCAGGAACCCTTACCTACATGGTTAATAAACATTAGAATTCATCTCCAGGACAGATCTAAATGTCTTGACTACAAAGGGTCCAAGTAATGGAGGTAATTTTCTATAGTTCCACCTAAGAAACTATAGACAGGGAGTTTCTGGATTTTCACAAATCTTCAAGTCCAGGGGAGATTGCCTACAGCAGGAATGGGAATCATGCAACCCATCAGGTGTCTGAATTCAAGTCATGGCAATCAGTCAGCATTGCCAATGGTGACAAAATATGTGAGTTATCTAAAGATTTTCAGTCAGTTCTCTTGGCAAAGTAACCGAAGAATCATGGAATCACAGAGCTAACCAGGGCATTGTGTGGTTCATAGGCCACCTGTGGTGGGATTCCAGTTTAGCTATTTAGTCTCTTTACTGACCTCTCAAGTTCCCTGTATTTCCAAGATTTATTGATAAGTCCAGAAACAACATAAACATTCAGGATAAAAGTCTTAGAATGTAAACTAAAGTGATTGGACTAGATATAATGCTGGTTTCATTAGATACATTCTTTATAACAACATCAAATGATGGCAAAACTCTGTGGTATATTAATTCCATAAGGGAACTGAAGGCTTGTCGACACCAGCCCTAAAACCTGAAGTGGACTAGAAATCATTCCCGAATGTCCAGACAAGCCCATGGACTTCTGGCTCTTAATGCAATATAAACCATCCTGACTCAATCTAACCTCACACTAAAAAAGTTGAGCAATGCACCAAAGTTTCATCAAACTCTGGAGAAGCTTCATGCTTTGGGTAAAGTATGGACAAGAAACCAGCTCCAATGTGAATCCACGTGGGACAGCACAACCACACAATTTTCCCTGCACCCAGCTGTGCAAAGATGCCCACTACCAACAGGAGTTTTTCAGAGTTCTCTCACTATCTGCTACAGTGAAGACACAAAATGTAAGGGTGTCCAGCTGGACAGATTAAACAGTATTCACTCTGCCCCTACTTTTAAAACAAGAAAAGAAAGGGGAGATTTGTGTGTGTTTGTTTGCTTTTTGCTGATATTTGCTGACAAAATATAAGGTGATATAACTAGAGCAGTTCATGAATTTAGATACAGCCATTAATTCAATCTTGGTTCATTTTCATGCCACAAGTTTGACAAAATATAGATTTGTACGCGTGTGTGTATGTGTGTGTGTATATATCTCAAAAAGGAAGGAATAAAAGTGATATCTAATACAATGACTACATTTACTGCAAAAGTGAGAGAACTCTCTTACCCGAGGGAGTTTTTTAAATTGCAAAGGAGTGCACATAAAGAGTTTAGCCACCTAAAATCAAACTAATGAGCTGCAACAACCAGGCATGTAGCTGGGGGGGGGGGGGCTTGAGGGGCTTCAGCCCTCCCCCCTTCTTTCACCTTGATTAGAAGAAGGCCTTACTGGTGCATTATTTAAACTGTTATGTTTATTCATATCATGATCTGATCACCATACTCAATATATCCCATATGCATGGGGGTATTGGGGTAACAATACAAAAGGTTTGCTAGGGTAGACCCTCTTTCACTCAGACTCAGCCACCCCCCCCCCGAAACAAACTCGCTCCCCCCACTATCCAATAACAAGTCCCAGAAGCACTTTATTAGAATTAAGATTGTTGGCACACTTCACTAACCCTATAATCCTTACATATCACCTGTCACATCAGCACTTTTAATCTGTACCCATTACTCTGGCCCGGCCCAGTTTTATTGTGTCTTGGTGTATTGTTTTATTGCTTGTTGTTTAATATTGCTTTAACTGTTTTTAATTTGCTTTAGGTTGCGTGTTGTTATGTTGTGTTTTGAGGCCTTGGCCTTTGTAAGCCGCATCGAGTCCTTCGGGAGATGCTAGCGGGGTACAAATAAAGATAATAATAATAATAATAATAATAATAATAATAATAATAATAATACAGTATATTCAGAAAACTGCTGTAGTCACTCCTAGGTCATACAACAGTCTTCTTTTATAATTGCTTGCCACCTTGACCACACTCTGATATTGTTTGTCTACAAGGTGGGTCCCAAGGTGCACCTACATTGTAGAAGTAATGCAGTTTAACACCACTTTAACTGCCGTGGCTCAATGCTATGGAATCATGGGCATTGTCATTTGGTAAAGCATCAGCACTCTTAGCAGAAAAGGCTGAAGACCTTGTGAAACTACAACTCCCATGTTTCTACAGCATTGAATAATGGAATGAAAGTGGTATCAAACTTGTAGATGTACTCCCTGTTTTCATTCAGAAAATGTTTGTCTGATATTCTATTGATCATGCAGACATGGTGATGAGGGCTAAGTTAGGATTTGTACCGATAACAGATCAAAATCTGTGATTATATTTAATGGTTTCAAGGCAGGGCAGATTAGGTTTGATTCTATCCAGTCTCAACAAGCAGGGGGAAGTATTTAAATGAGAATCATGTAGCACTGTCACACGTAAACTAGAATACTGTTTAAAAACGACCGCAATACTAAAATTAATAACCGCTTCTACAAGTTTATGCATTTTCTTTCCTTTGGATGAAAAATTACAAGTTAATTGACCACTGTCACTGTAATATTAAAGATTTCCAAAGACAGGTATGGCCTAAGTTCCTGATAATATAACAAGGATTTCCCCAAATTCGTGAAGTGGTAAATACCGTACCATTTCCTAAGCTAACTACACATGGCATTTGCAGTAGCTATCAGTGTTTAAGCAGGGATTTCCACTTAAGATGGATAAGCAGGCTATTGCTTGTTCAGAAAATGAATCTAGCCCTTCAAGAATTCCATTCACTTACCTCAACCCCTTTAGGGAGTATTTGAGAATACTACTAGAATCAATTTTCAGCAGAGAATACAGCAGATTTGGCTAACCTTTATTGTCTCAAGTGGGAAGTAATGCTGCCAATGCCACTAGCTTGAGCTCCACAATGGGAGAAATGACTGGCTTAGATTTTCCATATTTCACAAAGTCACCTGCTGCCTGCTACGTACAAGAGGGGTGGGGGGTGGCCACTAGGGTCAAAACATGTGGTGGGGAGGAGACTGGTAGTGCAATGGGTTAAACCCTTGTGCTGGCAGGACTGCTGACCAAAAGGTTGGTGGTTCAAATCGAGGGAGTGAGGTGAGCTCCCATCTGTCAGCTCCAGCTTCTCATACGGGGACATGAGAAAAGTCTCCCGCAGGATGGTAATACATCTGGGCATCTCCTGGGCAACATCCTTGCAGATGGCCAATTCTCTCACACCAGAAGCGACTTGCAGTTTCTCAAGTCACTCCTGATATGAAAAAAAAATATGACACAGATTACATTTTACCAGGGTAATAATCAATATGTCAGAATATGACAAAGAAAATTTTTTTAAAAAAAAAAATGGCACAAGTACGTTCATATGACATGCAGAATTAGTCCTTTAGGGCAGGAAGTAAACTATTCCAGATAACACATTTCCTTTAAAAGTTACTGAAAGAGCTTTATCTAGATATGCCTTTCCTTTGCGGTTACAGCAGAAGAAATGAAAGGGAGGAAGATTTATTGGTGCAACATTGTCCTGCAAAACCTGCCTCAGATGTCTTTAAGTTGGTTACATCTGAATCCCTAGCTAGCAGTAGCCTAGATGGAAGGTGTATGGGACAAATCACAGTAGGGATTCGGGAAGCATGAGATTTGGCTCCCTATATATGGAAGCAAAAACAGACTTGCAATTACCCAAAACACAGGTTTTCCGTCCTGGCTGACTAGTTCCTGATTGAAATAGGGTCTTTTTCTTCACTAGAAATGAAACTTCTACTATTGACTCCCCTTGGAATCTGGGATAGGAGCACTCAGTGAATTGTGCCTGGTGACCTACATTTCCCCTCTCAATTAAAATGCAAATCAAGAAACCAAAACAAGCCAAATGAACTACAATCTCTTCTTCTCTGACTTTATAGGCTTAGTGCTGAGCCACTCACGTCCATCTGTCCTCCGAGCCTCCATGTGTACAAGGTCAGGCTCCTTGTCCAAGCCCGTGACAGACCTGAGAGAAAAGAAGAAGAGAAGGAAATCAATCTGTGAGGTAGAATGGTGTAGTAGCAAGCAAAGGTCAAGGTGGATGAGAAATGGGAAAAGATAGAAAGCCAGCTGGCTTCTTCTCATTTTAAGTAAGCTACCCTGAGACTGGAATGGATTTAGTGCATGAAGAAACTGCACAAAAACCAAGGAGCTCAGATTTAATGAAGAGACTAGTTCAAAAAGCACAGAGAACTACTATTGTGTGCCCTTGTGAGAGACTCTTATATAGAACTAATGCTATGTTTCCCTTCAAAAACAGGCTTTGCCATATTTGTATAAGCCCTAAATCAGGACTTGAGGACCATGAAGTCCTTCAGCACAATTGGACATACCAGTGACATTTGGAGGGCCACTTCATTCCTCTTCCTGCCCTATATTATCATAGTTGAATAGAATAATGAAGGGTGTAGCCTTCATCTTTGAAAAAAGTTGCATGCAGAAGTATTAATATGTAAGAGATTTGGGGAAGAGTAGCATACCACACCATTCTCAACATAAACATGTTATTTTCTGTTTCCACACTCCCATAGGGTTTTATAGCACCAATAATATTTTGACATATAATTTGCTGTCATAAGGATTTAACAGAAATGACTGGCAGATCAGTTGCTACAGGTCGGAAAATCCATTTTTGATTTTACAACCACTTCTTGTGCAGCTCTTCTGAACTAAGTAGGAGCAATTTAGGTGCCATAACCTCTAAAGCAGTGGTTCTCAATCTGTGGGTCGTCTGGTGTTTTGGTCTTTAACTTCCAGAAATCCTAACAGCTGCTAAATTGTTGGGAATTCTGGGAGTTGTAGGCCATAACACCTGAGAACCCACAGGTTGAGAACCACTACTCTGAAGGGATGGGGGAGAACACTGGAAGTCAGCATAAACACAAAACAGTCTATGTATAATGTCAAAATATAATGTCAAAAGAGCATATAGTATGCTATTTAACAAAATCCCGAGTACATAGCTCAATTCAGTGGCCCAAAACAAAATCAAAAGGAGCAACCGCTCTCAAATGTAACAGTTCCAGGTCTGAACAAGGGTACCACTGTATATAGGCTTCAGGGATACATACAATGAGATAAATCATACACAAAGTAAGCATAGAGTCATGAGGCTATATGTATACTGAAGTCAATAATGAAGATGGAGCACCACTCTCAAAAATCTTCATGGAATAAATCCAAATTAAGTCCAGTGAGAATGGAGCACTGCTTCTCAAAATAAGTCTCTGTAGGAAAAGTCCGAATGGCATTCAACAGGGGTGCCCGGGTATTTTTGTACCCTGTTTCGGGGAAAGCAGTCCCCTTCCTCAGGAGTTGATAAATTCAGCAACTCTAGACTCTTATCTATAATAAAACATAACATCACATAGAGTAACAAGTATTTTCCAGCACAATTACAGTAGTAAAGATAATGGATACAACAAACATATAACATATACTCACATCATGCCAGGTAGCTAATACAAAAAGTGACTCTGCTAGAGGTAAATTCACACTGCGAGTAATTCTGAAGGGTCATCCACAGGTTTATAAAGAGTAGTTAGAAACTTAAAGGAAACAGCTAAAATTAAGTGACTCGTTAAGTCCTTGAGGGGAAAGGGTTTTCAACTTAAAGATCCAGAACATTTCCCTTTGGGATAGTAGTTCTTCCAAATCCATATGGGGTTTTGGTGTGATGCATTCCAGAGCACAAAATTTAAGGGAATTGGATGAATGTTTGTATTGTGTAAAGTGTGAATATAGAAGGGACTCCATAGATAAACATTTTATTCTAGATTTATGTTCAGAAATTCTAATTCTCAGAGGTCTGGTTGTTTTTCCAATATACCACAAACCACAGTCACATGTTAGAAGGTAGATAAGGTTACTGCTATTACAATTGGAAAAATGTTTGAGTGTGGTGCCCACTTTGTTCCTATAGTTGTGTACCTCCTTAGTTTTCCATGATTGCGGACAACATTTACAGCGTCCACAGGGGTAATGGCCTCTCAAAGTGCTTTTAGGTGTAGTAGTAGTAGTGGTTAAATCTGTATGAATTAACAAGTCTCTTATGTTTTTAGTACGCCTATTACCAAAAATGGGTGGTTTTTGGCAACCTGGAATATCTTGAAGAAGATGCCAGTGTTTTTTGATGATTCTGGTAATCTGTTTGGAATAGTGCGATAGTTCTTGTGTCCAAATAATTTGATTTTTTATGGGTTTGGGGCATTCTTTCAGTAAGGTAGTCCTATCTATTTTATCAGCTTTGGTCAATGCTTTCCTTATTACATGTTTGGGGTAGCCTCTATTTCTGAACTCATGGCTTAAAGTGACACTTTCCCGAATAAACTGTTCCTTGGTGCTAGAGTTCCGTTTAAGTCTGAGGAGCTGTGAAAATGGAAGATTGGTTTTTAAACTAAAGTGGTGGAAGCTGTTGTAATGAAGATAAGAATTTTTATCTGTGGGTTTTCTAAAGTTCTTGACTAAAAGTTTATTGTGATCTTTATAGACTGTAACATCCAGAAAATTAATATGTGACAGGTTGAAATGACTGGTGAACTTAATAGACGTATGTATGGTGTTGATCCAATTAGAGAAACCTACTGTGGCCTCGGTTGATTTAAATACCATGAATATGTCATCAATAAATCGTCCATAATATATAATATTGGTGTGATACATATTTAAAGATGGATTTAATAATACAGTGTTCTCTAAATTTGCCATAAATAAATTGGCAATTGAGGGGGCCAATGGACTGCCCATTGCCACACCAAAGACCTGAAAGTAAAATTGATTTTGAAAACGGAAATAATTTTTCTCTAAAACTATATCCAACAGGTCCATAAGGAAATGTGTGGGTGGATGTAACTTGGTTCTGTTATGGAGGACATTCTCTATGGTGGTACGGGCCTCATCTAATGGAATGTTGGTGTAAAGTGAGGTGACATCAATAGTTACTAAAACACTATCCTCCTCTACTTTGAGGTTTTCTATAACATTAATGAAGTGCTTAGTGTCTTTGATATAGGAATCACAGAGAGGGACAAAGGGTTGGCAGAAAGAGTCCAGATACTTAGCGACTGGTTCCAACACTGAAGAAGAACCTGAAATAATGGGTCGGCCTGGGGGGGGGGGGGAATAACACCTTTATGAATCTTTGGTAAAGTATAAAAGATTGGTATTCTAGGGAATTCTTTCTGAAGATATTTAAATGTGGAAGAAGAGATAAATCCCAGGGATAATCCCTCTTGGCACACAACCCTAATAAGGGACTGTATGTGTTTAGTGGGGTCTGTAGCAACAGGTTTATAAAATTTACTATTAGATAACTGGCAGTTGATTTCCTTAATGTAATCTTTTTTGTTGAGTAGCACTATAGCTCCCCCTTTGTCTGCTGGTTTCCAGACTACCTCTTTAATTTAATTCCCTTAAATTTTGTGCTCTGGAATGCATCACACCAAAACCCCATATGGATTTGGAAGAACTACTATCCCAAAGGGAAATGTTCTGGATCTTTAAGTTGAAAACCCTTTCCCCTCAAGGACTTAACGAGTCACTTAATTTTAGCTGTTTCCTTTAAGTTTCTAACTACTCTTTATAAACCTGTGGATGACCCTTCAGAATTACTCGCAGTGTGAATTTACTTCTAGCAGAGTCACTTTTTGTATTAGCTACCTGGCATGATGTGAGTATATGTTATATGTTTGTTGTATCCATTATCTTTACTACTGTAATTGTGCTGGAAAATACTTGTTACTCTATGTGATGTTATGTTTTATTATAGATAAGAGTCTAGAGTTGCTGAATTTATCAACTCCTGAGGAAGGGGACTGCTTTCCCCGAAACAGGGTACAAAAATACCCGGGCACCCCTGTTGAATGCCATTCGGACTTTTCCTACAGAGACTTATTTTGAGAAGCAGTGCTCCATTTTCACTGGACTTAATTTGGATTTATTCCATGAAGATTTTTGAGAGTGGTGCTCCATCTTCATTATTGACTTCAGTATACATATAGCCTCATGACTCTATGCTTACTTTGTGTATGATTTATCTCATTGTATGTATCCCTGAAGCCTATATACAGTGGTACCCTTGTTCAGACCTGGAACTGTTACATTTGAGAGTGGTTGCTCCTTTTGATTTTGTTTTGGGCCACTGAATTGAGCTATATACTTGGGATTTTGTTAAATAGCATACTATATGCTCTTTTGACATTATATTTTGACATTATACATAGACTGTTTTGTGTTTATGCTGATACCCTACAAGTACTCTGGGATATTGTATAGGAGAACACTGGAAGAGCATCCATCCGGTATGAAACAGCTGGAGTGGAAAAGCAGGAGATTCAAAGTGTCCTTTCACAGTACCCAGTCATAGCACCATGGCTTCCTTTTAAATGCCTCTGTAATATTCTATAGAATCTTGAAGGATTCGTAATTTGGTGAGGCACAAGAGCTCTCTGGTAGAGTATTCTAAATATTACTCCCTAAATGGCAGATCTGACGATTCCACAGGATGCAACCATAACAGCTATGGTGGAATCATAATTGCATGATTTGATAGTATGAAAGGGTCTTGGGACTAGTGCTGCACATTTCCAGTTACAAAGGCAGTGGGCTCTGTGTCTTTTTATTCACTGCAAGGAAATGTAATTACAGGCATACCTCAATATAAATAGGGGGCGACAAAGAGGCACGTTTTACAAAGTTGTTTTTTCACTGGAGACCCACCCTAACTCATTTTTATGACTTGTATTGAGGTGGAAATGTTTTTGCAACATTGGCATTGGAAGGATGATGGACAGAACAACACAGACTTTCAATGTTAGGTTCTAACAGTGTGTCTGCAGTAAACACTGCAATAAACTTGATGTGAGAAAGACTTGGATTTTACTCTACGAGATCCTACTGTAGCTGTATATGTTTACTTGTAGCAGGCAAGCTAAACATCTGTATCCAGAATCTATGTTGGGGATGTTT